CCCCCACCGCCCTCCTTTTCCCTCCGGCCGCTCCTTTTCCCACCTCTTAGTGTTATAAGTACATGCTTTGCGGAAGGAATTTTGGCATAGTTTTTCGAAACGACAACCATTTTTATATTTTTCAGGGCAGCACATCTTCCAGCCAGGCCGCTGCAACGACACACACACGCATCACTTCCAAAACCTCAAATGGAGCGGTATGTCACTACACTTTACTTTTCATTCTTCTCTTCACTGTTTTTACCTATTTTTCTAACATTGTCACATCATTAAATAGACATAGACATAACCAACATAACACACTTCTGTAAAAACAACAGAATTTTAAGAAGCGCAAAGGATTTGTTCCTGTTTGAACAAATGTTTGACGAATTTCATAAATTTGCAATTTTGGTTGATGTGTGAGCTGCTTTTTGTACTGCTTTTTCTTTTCCTTAACACATAAATATGTTGACAGTTCTGCTCCCTCCTAACAGCTGCTTCCGAATGAAAGTAATTCTTCGTTAAAACAATAGTGAAATTAGCCGCATAACCTTGAAACCACGTCCATTTTGTGCGGAGAGAACGTCAAGTGCTTAGTTGAAAAAATGGTACATATTCGCTTCGGCGACAGGACAAGCAGCACAGAAGGGCACTAGGAAGTGCCCGGCTGCGATGCTGGCTTTCGACAGAGAAACGCACTCTCTCTGACGCTGGGACAACACACACTGCGCTGCGCTTCCGAAGGGAAGACCGGGGCGGGGTGGGGAGGGGGGCGTCTCTAAACGCAACCTGGTTCGCTCTCCTCCTGCCCCTGCCCCCCGTATTAATACTGGGAGGAACAGGGGGAAGGGGGGACGGGGAGGGGAGGCCCGCGCAGGGAGGGGGCTGGTGGGGCGCTCGCTCTCCCGCGGTCCTGGCGTTGCTGGCGGCGCCGCGCGGTCAGTTCGAGACGCGAATCCGAGCGAGATCGCAGCCGAGAGCGAGCCGAGCGTGACCGAGAGCCGAGGCGCGCGCGCGGGGTCTTCGTCGACGTCGGGGAGGTGTACGATGCGAGGCGCGACGTCGTGACCATAGGATGCCGTTCTGCCGGATCACGGGCGGCAGCCGCGCGCTGCCCAAGCCCAACTACTTCCCCCTGCTGCCCCCCATCTCGCCCGCTGATGCCCGCCGCTTCTGCCGCATCACCGGGAAGGCCATCGGCCTTCCCGGCCACCACTACATCCCCGTGCTGGTCGGGCTGGGGGTGGGCCGCGAGCACTGCCACATCACGCACAAGTCCGAGGGCGGCAACGAGCACCACCAGTTCCTGGGGCTGCAGTCGCGCCGCCACACAGTCCGCCCCGACTACCGCTATGTCTTCCCCGTGCTGGACGAGGAGAGCGACCTGCTCGTGCTGCTGGACAGCAAGGCGCCCGCCGGCGCGGCGCAGGGCGTCGACGAGGCGCGGAAATACGTCTACACTGTGGACGAGCGGCGGACCAGCCTTGTGTTCCCGTCGCGGCTCGAGGCCGCCGTCCGGGACGGCGACGTCCGCGACGTGATGCTGGCGCGCGACGCCGACCACCTGCTCCTGACGCTGCGCAAGGGCAAGAGTGTGTCGCTGGACGTGCGCGACTACGCCATCGTGGAGGACGAGCTGTGGGAGGGCGAGGGCCCCGGCGAGGTGGCGTACCAGCGCGACGAGGAGGACCGCAAGCGCCGGCAGAAGCGCGAGGCCGGGCTGGCGGACCGCAAGCGCATCTTCGAGGCCAAGGAGGACCTCGCCGCGCAGGAGGAGCGCCGCCGGCACTCGGCCAAGGTCATGAAGGTCAAGATGCAGGCGGAGCGCGCCGCCGAGAAGGCCGAGAAGGCCGCGCGGAAGAAGGCCAAGCAGAGCGGGCCGCGCAAGTGGGACCGCTTTGAGGTGGAGGAGGCGAGCACGGACGCCCACATGTACCTGGCCAGCGGGGAGCTCAAGGAGCTGGCCAAGCCGTTATCCGGCACGTTCGACGCGGAGACCTTCGTCAAGGAGGCCCCCCTCCGCGGGGAAAACACTATCACGATTCTACCGACCCCGGTGGATGTGCCGTCCGTCGTCGTCGACCTGGAGACATCGTCGCCCGGCATAGTACAGCAACCTGCTCTGCTGGAGGAGGTCGGTGGCTTCCCCACCGTCCACGCAGTGGCGCCCTTCACGCCGCTGACCGCGGAGCCATGCCCCGAGCTGCAGGCGGCCGTGCAGCTGGTGGACCCCGGCGCCCTGCCCCGCCAGGCCGAGGTCAAGTCCGTCCTCATGGAGGAGGGCGCTGACGGCAAGTTGCTCAACCAGCTGCCTCGCATCGAAGAGATCCCCGACCTTGTCAACATGCTTGACAAGGGAGAGGCCGTGAACGTCGGCGGCAAAGTGCACGCCCTTCGGCTGGACATCGCTGCTGCCCAGGGCGCACAGGCGCAGCGGCTCGTCGTCGGCCAGAGCGTGGAGACGCCCAGCGGCCGCGTGTTCGTCCCCGGACAGACGGTGGAGACCGCCAACGGCCCCGTGTTCATGCCGGGCCTCACCGTGCACACCCCGGACGGCCCTCTGCTCATCCCCGGCCAGGCCGTGGAGGCCCCGGGCACCCCGGGCCAGCAAGTGTTTGTGGCCGGCCAGTCCCTACACACCCGGGACGGCCACAAGTTCGTGCAGGGCCAGATGCTGTACGCGGCTGACGGCGAGGGCCGCTTTGCCCCGGGCCAGACGGTGCTCACTCCAGAAGGCCCGCGGTTCGTCCCGGGCCAGGTCGTCAACGACGGCGCCGATTTCGTGGTCGGGCAGACCGTCAACACGCCCAACGGTCCCAAGTTTGTACCTGGTCAGACACTCACCACCCCGTCCGGAGAGGCCATCTTCTTGCCCGGCCAGAGCGTCGAGGTTCAGCACGCCGACGGCGAGAAGGAGTGGGAGTTCGTGCCGGGCCAGTCCGCGCGGGCCGACAACGGTGAGCTGCGGTTCATCCCAGGGCAGACCATCGCCACCCCCGACGGCCCCAAGTTTGTCGCCGGACAGACCGTTGTCGACGAGGCCGGGGCCGCCCCTCAGTTCGTGCCCGGAGTGTCGGTGCACGACAACAAGACGGGCGCGCTCAAGTTCGTACCCGGCGCCACTCTGGAGACTGCCGATGGCCTCAAGTTTATCGAGGGCCAGGTGATCAAGACTGAGAAGGGCGTCAAGTTCTCGCCCGGTACGTTCCTGGTGGGGGCCGACGGCGTGACGGTCGTCGAATTTACACCCGCCATCAGCCTGGCCGACATCGTGTTCCGGGACGGACTCCCGGACCCTGGAGTCGACAACGCCCTCGAGCACCGCGAGGAAGTCCTCGGTCACATGGTGCAGACGTCTCACGGCGTCGAGTTTTTCCCGGGCAAGGCCAACGGCCTCCCCTCTGGCAAAGTGATCCAGGGCAAGCTCGTCAAGAGCGCGTCCGGCGCCGTGCAGTTTGTCCCCGGCATGGACATCGACGGCCTGTTCGTCCCCGGCCAGCTCGTGATGACGGAACTGGGCGAACAGTTTGTGCCCGGCCAGGTCGTCGAGACGAAGGAGGGCCCCAAGTTTGTCCCCGGCCAGGTAGTGGAGACCCACGCTGGCCCCAAGTTCCTCCCGGGACAGACCGTGCTGACCGCCGACGGACCGCGCTTCGTCCCCGGCCAGATCATTGAGACCAAGGCCGGCCCCACCTTCATCCCGGGCCAGGTCATCTGCACCGAGGAGGAGGGCTCGCGCTTCGTGCCCGGCCAGATCGTCGACACCCGCGAGGGCCCGCGCTTCGTGCCCGGCCGCGTCATCGAGACGGGCGACCGCGTCACCTTCGTGCCCGGCCAGATCGTAGAGACGGCGGACGGGCTGCGCTTCGTAGCGCCGGACCTCCAGGACACGGAGGAGGGCGGCTTCGAGTTCTCGCTGCAGGGCTTCGAGGTGACACCCGAGGAGCTGCGCCTGATGCGGCCGCACCTGTCGGCGACCTCCACGGCGCCCACCACGGCCGGCCAGATGAGCATCGACTCGCGCATGCTGCGCCAGCTCTCGCACGCCGGCATGGTGGTCGGCAAGCAGGTGGCCGCCGAGCTGCCGGGCGTAGACGTGTCCTCGCTGCCCACCCTGGCGCTGGCCGAGCAGCTGGGCCTGGAGGGCGTGTCCGCTGTCAAGATGGGCCACGTCCTGGAGGCGGTGCTCAAGCTGAGCTACGGCCTGCTGGACGAGCGCGGCCACGTGCGCCGCAAGATGAGCGTGACCATTGAGCGAGGCCTGATAGCGGGCGGCGCGGACGTGGAAGCCCTGACCCAGGAGGAGGAGGCCCTGAAGAACATGCTGACCGAGGCCATCGTCACTGCCTGCATCACCATGGACGAGCAAGCTGAGGAGGAGGACGTGCTTCGCGCCGTGTGCAACTTCTTCAACAGCATCCTGGAGTCGGTGCGCGACAAGGAGGGCGTTGTGGAAGCCCTGCATGGCTTCGTCACGTACCCGGGCCATGTCGGGCTGCTGTGTCGCGAGACGGTCTGCCAGCTCGGCCAGGGCCTCAGCCGGGCCGACCTGCTCCGGTCGCTCCTCTGGGGCGGCGAGGACGTGCTGGACCGGCTGGGCAAGGTCCTCGAGCAGGACCAGCTGGGCCAGGCCTTCCTGCACCTTGCCGAGGCGGAGCCTGAGCTCATGGAGGTGGTGCTGCGCCGCGTCACCGAGGCCGTGCGAACTGCGGCGGCCGAGGGCATGGACGGCCTCGACTCAGATCAGGACGCCGCCGAGGTCCTGCAGCGTGCCATCGTGGCCGTGGTACGCGAGGCCAGCGAGCTGCGGCTCCAGGAGATGCTCGACAGCGACGAGCTGGCGCTCCGGGAGCTCTTCGTGCAGGCCATCAACCTGGCACGGGCGCTCGGGATGCACGACACCGCGTCGGGGCTGCTGCAGGTGCTGAGCGACCCCAGCGCCACCCGGCTGCTCGCCGGCGACCGCATCACTCTGGACATCCTGCAGCGCCTCACCGTCATGCGCCAGCTGGCCGAGCGCCGGCCCAAGTTCAACTCTGCCCTGGGCAAGCTTGTCTCTGACCCGGAGACCGCCCGGAACGACCCCCGCCTCCGGGAGCTGGTGCGACAGAGCGCGGCACTCATGGTGGTCCCGGAGGACCGGTGCCTCCCGGAGCTGCAGAGCTCGGCCGACATCCCCACCGCGCTGTTCCACAACACCCTGGCCATGGAGGAGTACCTCCGGCGGCGGGGCGCGGGCACTAAGGGCGCGCTTCTCATCGTCAAGCACGGCTTCCAGACCGTCATCCCCCGGGAGGCCGCCCGGGACGTGCTCACCGGCCAGATCCCCTACTCGCTCGTCGACCAGAAGGGCATCCGCCACTTCGCCCCCATGCACGTGTTCTCGGCCCTCAGGCTGTCGCAGCCGCTCGCCAACCGCTACTCCATGTACAGCCGCAGGGGCTCCGGGGCCTCGGCCGCGTCCGGCCTCAGCTCGGTGCCCGAGCAGGACGCGGCGCCCGGCGCCCCCGCACCGCCGTCCACCGTCCCGTCAACCTGCCTGCGGTGCATCCACGGCGACCACCGCCACCACTCCACGTTCAGTCAGCCCACGACCGAGGTCAGCTCCTGTAGCGGACACTCTCACGGGCCCGCCAACGGCCACGTCAACGGCCACGTCAACGGCCTCGTCAACGGCAACGGCCACATCAACGGCCTCGCCAATGGTGACACCTACGGCAAGGGCCTCGTCAACGGCCACGCAAACGGCCACACCAATGGCCAAGTCAATGGTCACGCCAATGGCCACAGTAACGGCCACGACAACGGTGTCGTTGACGACGAGGTCTGCCCGCTGCCTGCCGCGAAAGCAGTTCTCGACAAAGGGGCGGCAAAACTGGCTGCCATACTGAGTAAAGGCCTTACCAACGGCACCACCGCCGACGTCGCCGAGGGCCCCGTCGACGGCCGCGCCGTTGGTCTCGCCAACGGCCTCCCCAACGGTCACCTGAACGGACACGCCCACCCTGTGTAACAGCACGAAGTAGACGACTGTCTGTGTATGAGGAATCTGTTGATAACTCATTTGTGAAGGGGGAAGGGGGCGGCTTGTATTTCTGGCAGGGGGGCGCCTCGCCCTTGAGAGGACGATCGTCTATTGAAGACTGACAGGCCACGAATGGCACACTGGCGTGGCGGGCTAAATTTAAATGTGGGTTGGTTTGCCTTGTATTGCCCCCTCCCCCTTCTCCCTCCCTTCCCAGTGCAACGGCCCCGTGTCCCCTCACCAAGCATGACATTTTGTGCGGAAACGACTAATGTTTTTAAATCTATCTAGCGGTAGAAAGACATTGCGTTTAGTTTACCCCCCTGATCCCGTGATGTAAGTGGATGTGAAGTGAGGAGAGCGAGCGTGATGCCCACGCTCCCTTGTGTCTGACATTCCTAGCGGTAACTAATCCAAACCAGCCCCGACTTATTGTCATACGTGTTTCAAAAGTTTGCTGTTAAATAAATCACTGTTACTGGAAAATGAAATTCTGGAAAGTTTGTAATAAAAATTCGGCTAATTTGAAATTACCAAAAATTGTAACGGTTAAACCTACATTCTGCTTGAAACTATGTGAGAATATCTTTATTCAGTGACATGATGGTATCTGGTTTTGTTCGCGATGGAATAACAATTGTGATCTCCATTTTTCAATAAATTAAGTCAATATTTTTCTTGTGATTTGTGTAGTATGTCTGTTGTGCGTAATGAATGTCTGAATGCCTGTGAAAAAGAACGTAATCCTAATCTGAATGTGTCTTAGCAAGTTAATGTTGCTCGTCTAGTCAGAGCCAGAAGGCTGGGACGGCAAAGTGTTGCGTTTACGCACGTTCGCTGTCGTAAAATGTCATATATTAAAAATAATGAGGTGCATGTCAGTAATATTTTTGATAGACATAGAATGTTCGGTACTAAGGCTTGTGAAAACTAGGTTAAGTAGAGATGTGGAAACTGTACTGTGTTAACAAAACATTTAATAAAAAGTAAAATTGCTAATGGTGTTTACCTGTCTCATCATTCTAGAAAACACATTAACTCAAATGTTTCAGATGGGCGTGCACGGGAATGGTGTATATACGTGAGGGACATTGCATTCTTACAAAATTTACGACTTTACAAGTTTTAATTTTAGAGCCAAATACCTCCTGAGAACTGAATTTTATGGCTTTGTTCCATTGAGTTATAAGGTCATGGGGAGATTCGTCCTGCACGCGCAGCAGCACACTGTTCAGGCCACGGACAGTTCTCAGTCAAACAGACGCAGAAAGAGAGGGGGGGGGGGCACCGAGCACACGTCGCAATATTCGAGAGAGAAGAAAACCTCTGAAGATGTGTCTGTCGGGGCTGAACAGGCGGCCACAAGGGCGGGTGGAGGCCAGACTGTATATCGGAATGCCGGGAATGTTGGCGGCCCCCGCGGCGGTGCAGAGCGTGGCGGGTACACTGCCGCCCGGGCCTTGGGGCTGGCCGTGGCCGTCCACGCCGAGGTGCAGGCGGCGGGCGCCACAGTTCCGGGACGTGCGGGCGGGCGGGGGCAGGCGTTGACGCGGACCTGCCGGCAAGCGTCGCCGCTGACCGGTGGCCTGGCCGGCGTCATCCTGTGCATCGTCGAGGTCCTGCCACAGTCCCCGGGGGGACGCCGCCGCCCCTTTATTTCTGAGCTGGCTGCAGCACGCCGCCCCCACGTGTAAACACTCCTCCACCTTGTGCTGCGTGTGTGTGTGTGTGTGTGTGTGTGTGTGTGTGTGTGTGTCTGAGAGGGGGGCGTCGTTTAGAGTCCCCATGCATTTGTTACGTGCCACGGGGTCGTTGAGAATTTCCGAAATCTCTACCGAAAAATTTGAAAGTTTTCCAGAAAAATAAACCAG